TGCCAATTTGAAGGGGGGCATAGAACTCTTCTTCAATCCCTCCTCTAGGGAGTCTGACCAAAACTTCTTCCACCTTGAGACCGCCAACAGGCTGCTAGTGGAACAGCAGGCAGCCAACAAAATTTAGTCAAAGGCACAAAGGAGGCCTGCAGGATGTTATCAACAGGTTTTGTATCTTTAAAGCGTTTTTAAATGATTATTACAGAATCAATTTCTTATTATTTTTACAATTGATCGTATTCGTGTATTATGCTTTCTTTATTTCATTTTATTTTAAATTGCTGCAAAACTAGTGAGGTGGCTAACCCTGGGACATTTAAGACGGTGATAACTCAATGAAAAAAAACTCGAGTGCATATGTGCAGGTTTTTTTTTGGGGGGGGTGACTTATAATGTCATTTTTTTGTCAGCACTGGCTCAAATAGTTCAGCCATCACCATGTCAATCAGAATTTGGTTTTGACAGAGTTTACAACCTTAGAAAAGAGCCCAGCGTCAAAACACCTTGGACAATTTCAGCGGGCGTGAATACTGTCTAATATGAAACCCTATTACGAGTAATATGCAAGGCAAACAGTGCGATTGTTGAAACTACTTACCATTACGAGAGTTAGATGGGCTCATCTCGATGTTATCAGCTCCACTCCTGCCCCTTACTCGGTTCATGTCGAGTATTTTGATTGGCCAAAAGGAGCGTGTTAATCCACATCTAGCTGAGAGTGTCCCGAGCCCAACGACGACCTTCCTCGGGGTCCTTCACCTTCCTGGCTACCTTCTCTCGAGTGACTCGGCAGCCTTGTTCCCGGGGTTCCCTCCACCCAGTGATCGACGCCTGCGACCGTACGTCCCCTCAACTTCACAGAGGGAGGTCCGGGAGGGGAGGGGAGTGGCGCCCGGTTCCAAGCCAATTATATGATCCCGACAAGAAGCCGAGCGCCTACTTGCAAGTTGGACATGACACCGAAGCGCACATATTTAGCGCAAAGTTGGCTAACCGGAAGCGAACTAAAATTTCTGCGCTCAGTTAAATTAGGACAACCTTGAGCATCATCCTGCACCTGTATCAAGTGAACGGAATATTGTTTGATGTAATTATGTTTCTCTACGTTGCAACTACGTGTTTTATTTGTTATTCTCTTTGCCTTATGATATTGCAATTTCACGCCCACTCGTAATTTTCAACAACTTTGATTGAAAGATGTCACGTCACAATCGTGTTTGGTGTTTGTACAATTTGTCGCCATGACGACATTTTGTTAACGTTATTGAACTAGTCTACGTTTTTGAGAAACTGTTGGAAACTACAATACAAAACATGGATGAAAAGTCTACGTAAAGTATGAGAATATAAAATGTAATAATAATAATAATAATAAAGGGGCCCGATTTTGTATGGTGGGGTGCCGTGAGATTTTGCGAATGTAAAATGGTTCCATCGTTGGCTCAGTAAGGTTTGGGAGACACGGCTTCAAACACCACAAGTATTGGTCAATGGCTTGCAAACTTGTAAACAATTAATGTGAAAAACTACTGTTAAGTAATGATGTAACTATTTTGTCAAATTTAGAAAGTCCAATTTCTACATGCCTAATACTTATTTTCATGCAATTTTACTCAGTCCAATAGATGTGAGCCTAAGGACAGTACCCCTGCCCCTCAAAAAAAAAAAAAAAATATTCGGATGACTACAAATCTGCTGCTGTTCTATGTCTGCTGTTTATGTCACTTTCCTAACTTTTATCGACCCAAGGCACACATTTTAAATTTTATATAATCCCTACAGTAGATTATATGTGCATACCATATTGAATTGAGGGTTCCACGATTGTCATTTAAGAATAAAATAAACTGGAACTTGCACAGAATCACTATCATTGGACGGGATATAATCGGGAAATGTTTCCTAAAAAATATTCGGATGACTACAAATCTGCTGCTGTTCTATGTCTGCTGTTTATGTCACTTTCCTAACTTTTATCGACCCAAGGCACACATTTTAAATTTTATATAATCCCTACAGTAGATTATATGTGCATACCATATTGAATTGAGGGTTCCACGATTGTCATTTAAGAATAAAATAAACTGGAACTTGCACAGAATCACTATCATTGGACGGGATATAATCGGGAAATGTTTCCTGGTGTTTTGAGTATCAGTTTCAATCGCAACATTTTGATGATATTGTTACAGTTCGAAGTCAACATCTGGAAAAACCTGGATCCCTCCAACCTTATAGCAATACATAAGGTTCATTTTGTGACCCACTTTGGGTCAAACAGTGTTCAATTTCAACTCCACAGCTGTCCCAAGCGTGGCTGCTGAACATGTTTCCAAAACTATTAAATGAGGAAATGCTACCATGGTGCATCAAACAAAGTTTTGTGCATGTATATGTCCTCCGTTGCACATTACATTGTTTCACCTCAATTCCACTCTTGCACCTCATGCTCCAGTTCAGGGAAGCCTCTCCCTACAAGCTTCCCTTGCCATCGCCCATGTATTTTTTTGGGGGGTATAATTTTAGTGTCAGGTCCCTCTTGCTGTCCTTCATGTGGCCTCCACGGCTCTGTACTCGTGTAATTATGTTGGGTTCCTCTGCGGGGTGTGGCAGCATGCACAGAAATACAGCTACTCATTTCCCCAAACCACTTTTTCTTCAGTCTCATATTGTCCAGTCTCTGCAACATGTGGCACTTCTTGGGTGTGCACTGCCAATGTCTAATGGTAAACAGTTGCCAGTAATGACAAGACAAGCGGGACCACCTTTGATTTTAATCCGGCAAACTGCCAAATGGGAATACACAGTATGTAATCCAGGATATCACAGTAAATACAAGTTCAAAGTGAAACACACAAGTTGGAGCACACTTGTTCATGCTACGTACAAATGACATGGCTTGTCGAAACTTTTGACCACTATTTTAGGGTAAATGAAAACTATTAATATACACAACTGAGAAAATATACATGCACCAAACTTTGTTCAATGCACCATGGTAGCATTTCCTCTGTGACCCTGAATAGCAGTATTGAGATGGTCGCTGTGAAATACAGTATTACTTTATGTGTCCATAGACTCCCAGGTTTGATCCCTCTGCAATTTTGCAAGCACATGTGGAGGCCCGCCTTAGGTTCACCCGTGAACATCTAAATGACACAGAGAAGGCTCTGGAAAAAGTGCAGTGGTCAGATGCGCCCAAATGTTTTTGGACTCATTTTGACGTGTCATGTTTGGACAATGAATAAATGTAAGTGTGATCCAGAGAACAAGAGCCCCCACAGTCAGTTTTGGATGAGTTTTGGAGCCGCTTTTCTGCAAAGGGTACAATGACCCAAAACATACTGCCAGACAACAAAGGAAGGGCTCCAAAAGATTCTTAAGGTCATGGTGTAACTTCAAGCCAATAGAAAATCGGTGGATGCAGCTGAAAGTCAAGTGGCAAACTTGAATACTTTAAAGCAGGGGTGTAATATTCGTTTTAACCACAAGCTACATCTTACTCATTGTTACCCTCAGGGTATGGAGTGGGGGGCAGGGGTGTGGGGTTTATTTAGAGCGGTGAAGCCAGATAAATGTACAGTATTATCACAAGGGAAGTAAACGGTGAGACAAAATCACAGTTCAATACATACCTCTGGTTTAAGTTCACGGTTTGGTTCACCAATGGTTAGGTAATAAAATGCAAAACAAACTGTGAATGTTTTGCTTGAACAAGAACAGATTTATTGACATTTAAAATAAAACATCAGCTCGTATCAGGATGGGCAGCGTCAATGCTGGAGACGGCCAAAATTTTCCATCAGTGCGACCGGGGTCCACATAGGCCCACACACTTCAAATTGCCATTCCAGTATGGCAGAAAACTGAACAAGTACCTGAAATATTTTGTGCATTTTTTTCACAAATTACACTCCCTCAAAATTTTAATGTTATTTAGGTACTATTTTTGCCCTGCATATCATTCCAAATCCACCAAAAAATACTTTATACAAAAGGCCTACTAATGTTGTAATATTGAGCAGTATGACTCAGTGTCAGCGCAACTAGGACATGTCTGCCATCTCGTGGTGGTAAGTGATATTACAACTTAAAACTACAGTCAACTGCATATTCACAGTTCGGCACAGTTTGTTTGGATTCGCATATTCACAGATTTTTTTCACCAGAATATTTTTTCATATTTAGAATTTTTCCTGTTTTTTTGTGTGATTTTCTGCTCTCTTTCCCACCATTTTTATGGACATTTTTGTGGGAATTAATAAAGGGCAAATCAGATTGTGCATCAGTTTCCCATCCCTGGCCAAGTTATTTTCTTCTTTTTTTAATCAATTATGTGACTTCTTATTGGGACGTGAAGGGTGTTAACAAATATAACAGTAGCAATTTGAAAAGTCTGAATTATTGCGCTGAAACTAAGATTGACATTTGTTCTAGATTTTCACTGCTTGCCTTAAATAGGCATCCCACAACATGACAATTGGAGATTTCTTTGTAACTGAGGAAAATCATGAGGAGATCAAATAATAATTTCCTGAAGGTCAACAGGATTAGGGAGGCATAGGATGGCTCGCTCCGATCTTTATCTGGCCCACTGAGAGCTAGCATCACCAAGAGTCATCCACACGTATGGACTCACTAGCAGTAAAGATTTGTGGAAAAAATAAAAAGAAATTGTGACGCACGAGGCCCAAAGCCATCTCTCAACAAATTGTGACACAGGAGGTTCCAGCCCAAAGCCATCTCTCTCTCTCTCTCTCTCTCTCTCCCCCCTCTCTCTCTCTCTCTCTCTCTCTCTCTCTCTCTCTCTCTCTGGATGGACAGCAGACAGACGCTAAGAATGACTTCGTCCATTATTTCGTTTATAAACCCAAAGAAAATGTCTACCTTATGCCCACCCAAAGAAAATGGAGCTCATGCCCACCCCTGGTTTAAATAATTTCCTTTGCTGCCACCTAGTGGCCAACACAAGTCACTCCGCATCACTTGAGGAGGCGGGAACAATCAATTCATTCCATCGCACCTGAGAGGACCTGGTCGACACCAGCGAGCAAGGCTCCTCAACGTGGAGTTGACTACACCACGACGCTCGTTCGCGGGTCTTGTGTTTTTATCGTTCGCTCCGCGGCGAAGCGAAGGAAAGGTGGAAGCTTCAGTCGTGACACCGTCAGCAACAGGTGGAGTCGCTCCTACATTCCTTGCAACAACACGTTTGTTATAGAGGAGGACTACGGAAGTTACTTGCCCGGTCACAGGAACTCGGAGCAGGCCACGGAAGGAGGGGGAATTACCGCCGAGGAGGGTTTGGGGATTGTCTATTTTTCTGTTATTTTCTGTGTTTTTTTTTGTCATCCGTTTGCCGCCGGACAACCATGACGGGACACACGAGGCATGTAAGAAAACACACTTGAGCATTCTATAGTTTTAAACATACATCACACACAATCGGATGGTCTTTCGTTGCTTAGTCGCAATGTCACCCCATCATGCATTCAGCACCCACACAAACACATGCATGCGGTTCACATGACACCATCTCACAGTATGACCATTTGGTCAAAATGCCCACTGAGATGGTTTCACATCACCATTACATGTAGATCTAGCACGAGAAAAAGCATTTAACAGTCTTCCCTTTAAAGATCATGCAGCTCGTTTTTTGACTGACACTGTGAATAGATTGTTGTGGGTGTAGAACTGCACTGCTTCGTACCGAGATGCTTTTCTCAATACTGTGCTTATGCTTAGCATACGGTTTTAAGCACTTGACATGACTAAAATGTTTGGATCACTATGCTCCATACGGTTCGAGTTTGCGGTTCTCCACCACCGCAAACTGCAACCACAATAACAAACATTAAGTGGATACCTCTGACTGTGCCAATCAAAACTGAGCATTCTAAGCCTGAGATTTTTAGGTCACAGTTTTATCTGTAAGTACTGTAACCTAATTGTTGATTAACAGCTTTTATGATGCGTATACTGTGTCAGTTGAATTTGTAGTTATCTCTCACCAATGCAGTGAACGGCATTGTTGCCATTCACACTGCAACAATAACTCGGAGTAAAATAGCCATGATGAACATTGGCCAACATTTAGAGTACAGTGGAGATAAAAAGTCTGTACAACCCGGTTCAAATTTCAGGATTTTGAGATATAAAAAGTGACATCCAATTTTTTTTCCACCGTGAATGTGACCGTGAACACGTATAACACAATTGAGTTAAAAATATATATTTTCAAGGGAAAATAAAAACAAACAAGTGAAATAATGGGCTTGCCCAACCGAGGGTGCACACAGGAGGTGTCACATTTAATTGATTAATCGACAACTACTTGATGATCAAATTAATCAACTATTTCAGTTCGTCAGCAAAGTTTGAAATATTTTTTAAATCAGAGATTATGTTAAATTTTCTAGATTTTATTTTTGCACTGATTCCTAATACTAATACTGTGCTACTAACGCTGCTACTACAACTACTGTGATCAAAAAAAAAAAAAAAACTACTACTACTACTACTACTACGACTGTAGTAGATGTGTGAGTGTGGGATGTTCCAAACTGTAGAGATGATAAATTGGTTTATGGTACGACCCACTAGCAATACAGATGCAAACTTGACCACCATAGGGCGAAAGATTAACCAAACAAACAATGTTAGATGTTCGTAAAATGTCAACATTTGTGTTGTCTTGTAGTTTTGACCAAATGAGTGGGGTCTAGTAAACTGACATTTATAATGACACATTAGATTACGGGTATTAATCACTTGGGCCTGAACGATTTTGAAAAAAGGATCTAATTGCGTTGTTTTCCCCCCTCAATATCGTAATTGGGATTTAATATGCAATTATTCTTTTTCAAGGTTTTCCTGCTGGTTTTTTTTTTGTCGACAAAAACAATCAAATTCATGTTTTACAATAAGCCATATCAGATTTATGATACATGATTTGTTTTTCTAAATTAGCTCACGCTAAACTAAATGCAAGTGAACCATGAATGACAGTAATTTGAAAGACAGTTTCTGAATATGATTAATTGTTCAGCCCCACTAACCATCAGTCCACCAATTTAAATGGTCACGTTCAATATGTTGGATCTGAGTGCCGTGAAGGTTGCGTAGGCGTACTCAATTGAGCGCCATTATGTTGTCATCATGTTGATGCACACTCACGGCCTGCCACATGCAGTGTTGTGTGAAACGTGTCTGTGAATAACACAGCGTGACACCGAGAACGCACATACCACCACATGCGCCTCAGTCACGTTAGATTAACCTCGTCCACTGACAGTGGTGAGTCAGAATGGCCGCAGCTCTTTCCCACTCGTCGGCCCGCTCTTTCCCACTCGCGCGGCCAAACACACTCGCACACACGCCCACGTGAGATTTTTAGCTAGATTCTTGTCGAGGTAGTAATTCTTTGACTGATTTTTATCAGCTTCCTGATAGTTATTCTTTTAACAGAGACCATCATGCTTCACTCACCTATTGCAGTGTTGAAAAGGAATTTTTCGGCAACGTAGTAATGCATTGCTTGTTATTGATGTGTTCCATAGCCCAGCATAGAGCTACTGGAGTTAATGGGAGTTGTGAGAGAGAATGGCAATGAGCAGATGTCATTTCCTCCGTTGGTAAGTTCCTCTCAATATATTGTATGGGCGATTCACAAATTAGATGATATTTATTTGGCCATTTTACGGTTACCGTGATATTCACCGCAACACTTGATTGGGAGATCCAATATAAGATGTTTCTGCCGTGGAAAGATAATGTTGCTTTGGTTACCCGATTTGGCTACATGATGAAACAAACAGCAGTTCTGCGCCACTGCCAACAGCAACCACGCTGCACTTGAGTTGTTCAGTTCCATTGATTGACGGTGTCATTCGAAACCTGTTTTCTCTTTTTTTGGATGCCGGTTGGTCTCATATCTCACCACAGCTGTGTCTGTCAACCCATCACAATGAACAAGTTGCTGATTGTTGTCGTGATACAAAGTGTCTCTGTGAAATGGCAAAGATTTGATTGATGTGACATTGCTTTTGAGCTGCAGTTCAACCCGCTCTCTTACGACTACGTCCTGGTTGCAAAAACGAGAGAGCACCTGGATCGAGAGTCCATCAAGAGGCAAAATGAATTTATCGAGGAGCTGAAAAAGAAGAATTTCAAAGTCACAGTGAGTGGGGGGAATCAAACAGACCTGTCGTCTCATGCACAGTTAAGCAATCGTGTCAGCGTGTAACACTTTGGTGACATTTTTCATCTCTCCCGTTGAACAGAAAATTATAGACGATAACCTGGTCTTCTTTGGCATGCAAGCTCCAGTAGAGATTTTTGAGAAGTACAGATATCTGCTCAAAGTTTCTGACGCCTGTAACTGGAGCTCAGACCAGAACAATGTGCCTCTCAGCACCAGGTAAAATGCTCTCCCTTTTTGACCGTGAACAAGTGAGCGCTCGAGTACATATATTCGTGTATTTTCTGACGATCATAAAAGCAACAAATGTACTTGCATAGGAGATGCACTGTAGCCATAAATCCTGCATTAGATGAGATAAGTCTGTTTTGACAATATGCTTGTGACACAAAGAGCTTGTTTGTTGCTGAAATGAGAATGCGGTTCAACATTCCAGGATGCCGGCTGGCTGCCGATGACGTAATTTTTCTCTTAGGAAGGATGGTTAGAGTGGTAACTCAATTCATGAGTCCCCCCCAATTTATTTGCTTTTCGAGATTCAAGCCAGTGCACTGTTGATTAAAAAATAGATATCTAGTTTGCTTTGTGAGCGATGACTTTCATTACTAAGTGTGCTTTAGGCCCTCCAGTTGCTTTGATGAAGTGCAAAAAAAATCTGCATGTCACATATCCCAGGTATTTGTGTGGGAGGGGTAGAAGCTGTAAATTAACTGTCGGTATGACTCCCAAGAAAGTGAAACATGTAAGGGATTATGCTATTAAGGGAAAAAAAAGTGAGCACGGCATCCAACAGCAGAGTGAGACAAATATCGGAGTGCTACAAGGCACGAGCAAACTATTGTACTCATGCGTATGTGTGTATTACGTTGGACTTGATTACACTTCATGAAACTAGTTTTGAGGCACATTTTTTTCCCCAGACGTTTTGTTCGAATTCCAAATTGAACAACTATAGAACCATTCGATATTGTAATCTATTTTTGTTGAAATGATGTTTGTTCTTCTTTTAGGATAAGAGTTGTCGATTTTATCTTGAACCACACACCGATCAGTTCAGGAGGTGAGATCCTTTGAACACACTGCCAATCCTCTTTGAAAATAGGGAAAGCTAATCTTGGCGTTTCTGTCAACCTTGCCAGAGGGTCTGCGAGAGCTCATGAAGATGAAGGTTTTTGAGGCAAGGTTCTGCCTGCATGAGGTAAGTCACCCATTCCAGTGCTGTCTTTGGTTAAACTGGTAGTACATTTTGCAAACGCCAGCCGTCCAGATAAAAAAACTGCACTTTTTAAGCCTTTCATGCACAAATAATAATAACCTACATTAGGATTTTTTTTTCTCAAGTGTTTTTACTACTCTTTAGGCATGAAAAACAATAATGGCAGTGGATGGCAACACACACAAGGGTCCATTGTAGAGCTTGATGCACAACTGTGACATTAAGATTAATTAATATACAATACAATACATGCTGATTTATATAGCGCTTTCACAACAGCGGCAGCTGTAACAAAGCGCTTAACAAAACAGTTAACATAAAGTAAAATAACAAACACAACACATAACATAAAACACGGACAGTCGTGCAGTCCTAACCACTTTTCCGGGACACGCTTTGTTGTTTGAAGCAGTTTGAGATGAAAGAGGAGAGAATCAAAGTATAAAGAATCAAATATAAGAGAAAACATGCGAATAGCTGTCCACTCCAGTAACCGCTGTCCCCCAAAGGGTTAAGATTTAACAAAAACAAACAACTATAGTCTTCCTCAACTTTTATTTATTTAAATTGAATGTTTTAGCGCCATGGGTGATTATATATATAAAAAGATGAGCCGATGAAGCAGTCCAATAGGCAGAAGTGAAGCTGCCCACACTTCAAGACTGACCAGTTCCTCCTAGGCCCTTGTTTTTCACAGATGCGGCATGCCGTGATTGTGCACCAACTATTCTATTAGCAGTTTGAAGGCTTGGATGTGATCTTCGTGTTTAACAGTTGCTTTTATAGAAAATGTTTGCTGGGAACGGGTGTGAAAAGAGAAAGAAAGGCGGGTCACGTGATTGACCTGGTTTGACACAACAGAAAGGGAGCGCTTGTAACACTGTTAGCAACTGTTAAGTATCAACATATCACAGGGCACTAACATGTTTTACAATCCTGCGGAGAAGTGTGAAACATAACTCGACAAAGGTCTTTACAAACAATAGACTGGTGCGAGTGAACTTCACCAACAGCGCCTGTATGAGGGCCATTAAGTGATGTCTCATGCCAGTGAGTCATCGAAGCATTCAGGTGTGAGGGTTTGATTTTTTTTTTCTTTTTCTTTTTCTTCCCAAGCCCTGCGTCTTTTTGTGTCATCAGGTTTTTCCTCTCACAAGATTCATTGCAGAGGAAGTGGAAGCAAAATGACACATGCTAGTTACAGTGCTGATTTCTGCTGTTATTTGTGCATGGGTCATTTTCGTACAATTTGATTGAAGAAAGACATGAATTTCCTTTTGTTTAGCTGTTATGAGTATTTGAATGATTGACTGTTATCATTCAAACGGCAATTATTGGTTCAAGGGGAAAAAAATACAGTATATCTTCCAAACTAATATTTTTCAAACTAGTCATGCCAAATTGTCTTTAAAAAAAACGCTGATAAACATTCAATATGCATTCTCCACAAAAAAGGGGGGGAACGTGGGATATGAAACTTTTTTTTCTTTTAATTGAAAAAAAAAAGTGAAAATTTAAATCAGTGGGTGCCTAACTGCCAGTATGTGTGGGGGTCCACTGTAAAAGCAAGGCAACAGAATAAGGGCAAAATTAAATCGTTGTCTTTCCCGTTATTGATCATGTTATTTGAAAATGACTACATAAGACAGTCGTGTTAGTGTTTATAGATGATGTCATCTTTGCGGTGTGCTCACATTCTGTTTATTGTAGCCAATTTGCTTTACCTCTGCAGAAAAAGAAACAGCGAGAGCTGACGGAGAGCTGGGCTCGATGGACCGCTTGTTTCCAAGGGCAACCCATTACTGCTGTCAGGTTGGAATTGCAACACCTCTTCCACACGTCAAGAATTTGTAGCCATTTTGTTTAGCATTTTTATTCTTCTGTGAAGTGGTTCAAATGTGGGTGTCGTTCTCCACACGTGATACATATGACGCACACCTTGTTTGAAGAAATTATTCAAAAAGAAAACACTAATGCCCTATGAAGATTAATTTCACTTCAGGAAAAATAGCATGGCAGGTAAATAACATCATGACTTTATTGTGACCTGAATAGTATAAAACCTCGCATTCACAAACGGGTGTCTCTTGTAATTTGCACTTTCCCTTAATTGGAGTGTGTCCACTTGTTGCCATTCATACAACAGAGTAATAGCTTCCGAGATGTCATGCTGAGGAAGTCCACTTGTGAGGTTATTGAGAGAAGAGCATTATAAATTAAGTATTCTTTCTTTTGTGACATTTTTGTTTGCGGTTGTGTCGTGACAATTTTCTTGTGTGAAATGTGTTTCGGCTGAAAGAGGACATCACCCCAAAACTATTCTTTGCAATATGTTCTGTGCGCCTTCACTTGTTTAAACACCGCGTTCTGATTCATATTGTGTTTACGGAATATGAGTTAAGCAGCAAAGTCCACCCGTTTTTAGCCATTTCAGGTGGCGGCCATTTGGTTACTTTCTGTCGACTGAAAATGACATCATAGTTGCTCAGGTAATGACCAATCATGGCTTACCTTTTTTCTAAAGCTGAGCCATGAATGGTCGTTACCTGAGCCCTGAGCAACTGTAATGTCATTTTCAGTCGACAGCAAGTGGCAAAATGGCCGCCCCCTGAGATGCACAAAAATGGGTGGATGTTACTGCCTAACTCATACTTAACATTCACAATATTAATCAGCGTAGAACATATTCTTGTAAAGAACATTTTTGAGTTGACTTCCCCTTTAAAAAAGGTTAGGAAACACTACTATAAAGACACTTTGTGTTTATAGGAACTATTTTGGAGAGAAGGTGGCCTTGTACTACCTTTGGTTAGGCTGGTACACATACATGCTTATTACTCCCGCTGCCATCGGGGTCATTGTCTTCCTCTATGGCCTCGCCTTCTTCAACACGTCGCCCCTCATGTAAGATTTGACTCAAGTAGATTCTATGTTATACGGCAGCAGCATTCATGTGGGCCTCTGTGAACAATCAAAGCGCTTGTTGTCTTGTAGAAAGGAGGTCTGCGACATCGATGTGGTCATGTGCCCTCTTTGTGACAAGAGATGCAAAGTGTGGCTGTTGTCCGACACGTGCACCTATGCCAAGGTTGGTCGGCGCGTAGGCTTCTCAATGTTTTTTTTTGTTGTTTTTTGATTCTCTTGAGGCTTACACTTGGTTTCACATATCCATAGGTGAGCCTGCTTTTTGACAACGAAGGCACAGTGCTGTTTGCCATGGTAATGGCAATATGGGGTAAGTCGAGTGTCCTTAAAATCATTTTTCTTACTTGAAAACATGTCAAGTAAACAACCTAAATGACGGCAGTGGTGAGCTGCGCAGTTTGTCCCTCAGCCTTCATTGGAGAATTACCTGGAGCTGGAGTATGTAGTCTCAAAGCTGCCAGCAAGATTTCAGTGTAGCACTCTAAGGCATGCATTCTTTGATTGCTCATCAAAGTTGGCTAAAAGAAGTTTTGCTCTGACCAACCAATCAGGGAATGAAAAGATGTTAACATTATAGTGGGCCACCCAGGTGGTTGTGGTGAGGCAAATTTGAAATCAAATTGTTAGCAAGAAACAGTCCCATTGCAAATATGGTTGAAGCACATAGGAAGCAATGCTGCTGCGAAATGAAGATAAATGGCTGTTGGAAAAGAAATGAATGCAATCTCATGGAACAGATATTAGAATGTTGTGGAAGCCTGCAGAGAATGCTTTTTTTGTGGGTTTTTTCACTGTTTTTCTTGATGCATCTTGTGTAGTCAAGCGGTATAATATTGATTTAGTCAATGAGTGTTGATCTACCTTTATTTAAACAGCTCTGTGAGAAGTACCCTACAAGAAGGAGGAAGTGCAGTCTTCCAAAGTAACAAAGGCGCTACATGACTGTACATAGAAGGGTGGGGTGAGCTAGAAAGATAAAGAATGCATTGAGGGTAAAAGAGTGCAGCAGGGGTGTTGTCATTTATCTTCTTTCTTTGCACTTAGGACACAGGACCTTCGATTCAATTTAAAGCGCGACCTGCCTAAAAATGTTTCCCTAAACATGGCCGTAGCACAATGTAAGCATTTGTAGCAAATTATAACATCAAATATTAATGATCACAAGTGTGCACGAGTAGTTCGCACAGTTCTGAGGTTGGCGGTTTGCATTAAGTCTTTGGCCTTCCTGTGTGGCGTTTGCATGTTCTTCTTTTGTGTGTTCTCCATGTACGCTGGTTTACTTCCGCGTTCCATCCCAAAACATGCAAGTTAGATTCACTGAAGGCTCAAATTGTCATAGAGTAGGTATGAACACACAGTGTATGAATGGTTGTTTGACTAGAGAGGATCTGCCCTCTAATTGGTTGGCAACCAGTCTAGGGTTTATTCTGCCTCTGGCAAAAAGACAGCTGAGATAACCTCCGCGAGCACAACCCTCGTGAGGTTAAGCCATAACAAAGATGACCGTTCTAATAGTCCAAAATAATACCAAAAGAGCTAAAACACTTTGGTCCACTAAGTCACTGTCGATTAATTTAGCATGTTTTATTTTCTTTTTACAGCCACACTGTTTTTAGAGTTCTGGAAAAGACATCGAACTTCCTATGTGTGCGAATGGAAGGTGTCTGATTGGTGTGAGGAGGAGGTACGATCAGTTATCCTTCTTTTTGAAACAACCACTTTTTTTTTCCAGTTCTTGGCGAACTCTCGATTGTGTTTGTTTCTCATTGTTTGTGTCTTTTTTTTAGGAGGAGCTCATCTTGGAGATTGTCAACAATGTTGACTGTGAACCCAAAAAATTCAAGCACTCCTATCTGCGCAGCACGCTGGTTTTGATCTGTGTCATCATTATGGTAGGTACTTTGGTTTAGTCACATACATTCAAAGGAAAATGCATGTCAATTTGCTATTGGGATAAGTATCAATTTGTTTGTGTTGTTTTTGATAAGACAGTGCAGTTGTCCCCAATTTTTTGTTCCACGGACCGGTTTCACGCAATATTTTGATGGACCGGCACAGAAATAAAAATACTCATCATTACACTGGATGAAGTTATTGTATTTAACTAGGTCGCGAAAATGAGCCGGAGTGATGGGCGACAATTGTCCGAAATGTCATGTCTTAAAGGGATGGAATATGCTTTAAACGAATTGTCATTGGTTCTTATGGGAAAAAAAAAACTACTGTTATGCTTTAAACGAATTGTCATTGGTTCTTATGGGAGAAAAAAAAAAATACTGTTGTGTGTGTGTGTGTGTGTGTGTGTATGGTAGTTTTATACTTGTCGGCCACTCTTTTGGTACCCATGATGCATTGCGGCATGCAGTGCTGAAATGTTCGTGTCGAAGGACATTCATGATTCATTATCATTTAGGTGTATTTACGTTACCAATAATTCAGTGAATATTTCTTAACTGTCTTGTTAGATTTAAGTTGCAGGTTAACACGGAACTGTGACTGTGACATGCGCAAAACAGTAAAATTCCAGTGAGTTACGTCTCCACGCTGACACATCCGCGTCACCACATAATACGCATTGTGGGCATGGGATGTCAGAATTCCCTGTCGCAATAATACTTGCATTATTTTGTCAATTTTTTTCTACCTTGTGGCAGTACCTTTTTTTTTTTTTTTTTAATAACCAACAACAACATGACCGAGAGGCAGAGCTGTAACGCTGATCATTAAAATAAAACTCTGATGAGCAATAATATCTTTGCTCGCTCTGTGTAGCCCGCTACTAAATGGCCCACAGATTGGCGCTGGTATGCATCCCGGTGCTGAGGGATCTTAATAATTTGTTTCCACAGATACTGGTGATCATCGGTCTGACGCACGCGCTGGTGGTGTTCAGGGTGATCGCAGCGGTGCAACTGGCTGAGGGGTCATGGGAGTTCATGACCACGCACGCCAACAGCATAGCCATGATGCTGGGAGCCGTCCTTCATTACCTGATCATCACCGTCATGACTCGGGTAAAAAAAGTCTTGAATGCATCGTTGTCTCCATTCAGTTAGGGTCCTTTGTGAGGTTTATTACGTTTTTGTGGTTGCAGGTCAACAGGAGAGTGGCCATGAAACTCTGCGAATTAGGTACGTTAATCAGTATTGCTTCGGGTCCATATAATAGTCCGTGCAGAATTCAGCTGAAAATTTAGTCTACGGGACTGTGCAAAAGTCTCGGGCCACCATTCCTTTTTTTTTTTTTTTTTTTTTTTTTTTTTTTGAGTAATCCTACTATTCGGATATATGTTTTAATATTAGCTAATTTCCTGTTGCTCTTGTGCCTTGTCAAAACAAATGGTGTGGCAAATCATTACACACCAAGGCTTGCTGTGCCGTATTTGTTATTGTATGCTTTCCACAAATAATTGTTTTCAGGACTTGAAGTTATTTATTTGATTGACAGTCCAAACTGGTTTGAAGAGCCGGAGGCGAGCCAAATTTGGTTCACACGCATTCCTGCATTGAGCAAAACAAGAGCGGCCAGCATACACATTCCCACACACAAAACGCAAAGAAACAATGGCAATATCTATCGCATTATAAACGATTTGCAAACGCTGGACGAAAACTAGCCTGATGGAACCGTAAAGTGATAAGTCTGGTTTTGAATTTGGAAAATGCTCCACACTGTCTGTTAGAAAATCAGTTCCTGCCCACGCAGAGTGCCTGTCAGTCAGACAGGAAGGTGACACATGATCACTTGCAGCACAGCAGCTTGGCACCTGAATGCTTGGCCCAAAATTCGAAGAACCATGTGGCCCAGATCCAGTGTTCCAGGCGCGCATCAAAACCTACACTATTCACTTATTGATTAAACGAGAAATCCGTGAGGACAACACTTTTTTTTCCAGTGCCGTGAATACCTGTCTGTGAGTTCTCGTAGTAGATTAGACCAATAACTTATATATTTATGTACGAGAGAGTGCGAGCAACGTGTCGTTTTGACATCAGGGTGTGGTCAGAAACAAACAATTAGGTGGCTAACTTTGCGTGAACTTTGGAACTAGGCCATAACATATCAGTCACGTGAAACAACAGGTGACCTCCAAAAAGGGAGCTCATTGTTGACAATGAGAAGCCGGTTGAAGAATTGCAAGTGTATTTAAAAAGATGCCCAATTTTGTTTGGGGCTGAAGCAGACTATAGATGACACCTTGGCTGTGAGGAAATTCAATACTCAAAATATATAAAACTTGCTTTTTTTTTTTTTTTTTTTAAATCTGGTTAAATCACAGTGGTGGCTTTGTTTCAAATGTTCTGAATCTGCCTGGAAATATGCAAATTAGAACTGCTCATTATGATTGCGAGTTACAGAATTATTTGGTGAATGAGTGTATTTTTGCCGAAAATGTCAACATGCGTTTTTTTTTTAAAGAGATGCTCATGAAAAAAGACAACATATTTCTCACTCTGGTCATATATTTTTGAAGTTTGGATGAATAGAAAGTTTCAGGGCTGGGGTGTCAACCTCATTTTAATTCAGGCACCACGCAGCCTACGGGTAATTTGATGTCAACTGGGCTGGAGTCTCGTGACCTTGTTGACTAACGTTTAACTGCTCGTTTTGCAGCTATTACCACAGCAAGGATTCATTTCCCCATTTCCACTCACTCCAAAACAACAACAAACTTAGCTGTAAGTGGAAATTATAGAACTCTTAACGCAGCACAAAACTGCAAGGTCACGACCGTGCTCATTCACTTGGAAATTCATCTGACCCAGTAATAGTCAGAATTTGGCCTGTAATGCCGCTTTTCCATTAACCCCAAACAGCCCCACACCACTCCGCTAATACAACAGGCACGGGGTGGGATCAACTGTTCAGCGCAGTGGCACCACACCATTTCACAAGTGCCGAGTCTCGACCGTTTTTTTTGTTTTTTTTTTTTGAGCAATTCAAAATATGAATTGTTGTTGATGTGGCTACGTTGGAAAGTACAGTCCATTAAAGGCACAAAAGCTTTCACATATAGAGGGCTCCGTCCTTTTAGCAATTACCCACAATGCACTACGGGCGGCCATATTGGAGGGCTGTTATAAACAAGCCATACACGAAGTCTATTCGTCGTCGTCCTCACTCTGCGGCGTCTGAAACCCTCTGGTGGCCACACAATGCCGCCATCTCCTAGGCGGGGGGGGGCGCGATGCTTTGGGAGGGAACGGCGAGCCTCTGCTCTGCTGCTGGAGGCCTCTCATTCAACTGAATGGGACCCGGCGAGCAAGCGGTGCGTGCGCTTGTTAAAAAAAAAAAAAACAACAAATTAATCATCAAAAATGGCACCATTAGTACATATGAAAGTGTAAATATGGTTCAGCCTTGTCAAATATTATTAGGTTTCGTGTACACACTGTATTTTTATGACTTTAGAGACACCCGGTGGGCGGTGCGTCGAGAACCAGGAAATGGGCATATGCGGCGAAGTTCCCGAGATGATTCTGAAAAGCGGGTCCATTGTAACTGCTCGGCCCCGAAAAAGTCTCATGGAAAAGTGAACAGCCGGAATCAAGCGAGGCTGTCTCGGTTTGGAGTGGGGCTATTGGAATAGCGCCCAAAGTTTGACACCCGTGCCTTAGTTGCCGTCATAGTGTTGCAATTTCCTCAATATTATCTGACAAGAGAAAGGATATTGTCATATTTTTATTAATATCTACACACTTTTAGCACTTTTTGTTATTTAACAGCCAGAAGTGAACCGCCCAACAAATCCAATTCCATTATAACTCCACATTTGTACAGAATGTACATGAAATGATGACAATAATCGTGATTTACCACATAGTGGCAGCCTCATCACCGGATGAACCTCGTTGCTAATAAGAATTGTGTCTGTGGCAGAGAAAACCAGATCATTCGCTACCACTGAGAGGAGTTTCACCGTCAAGATGTTCACCTTCCAGTTCTTCACCTACTTCTCCTCGCTCTTCTACGTAGCCTTTTTTCTCGGCAGGTAAGAAACTCCGCAATAAACTCCATCAACTGGCGTTAAAATGCATATTTCCGATGACTGATGTCCGCGACATGACTTGACTCGACAGGATAAATGGTCATCCTGGTCATTATGTGCGGATTGCCAGTAAATGGAGGCTAGAAGAGGTGAGTAAGCGCAATACAACCAAAATTTCGTTTGCACGTTGCTGTTTTCAATCCCTCCATCCAGTGTCACCCCAGTGGATGTCTCACGGACCTCTTTATCCAAATGGCCATCATCATGGTCCTGAAGCAAACCATAAGCAATGTCTTTGAGTTCACCGGCCCGTACGTACGCAGCAGTTGCATGTACATCAAAACAGTACACGCTCTCCCAACAATGTGTCCAAAATAGTCCGTCTTTCCTCTTGCTGGCCTAAGGTGGTTTGGCAAGTGGCTGAAGAGGAGAAGAACTCAGAAGCTAGTAAGAAAATGCGCCCACTGCTACCTAAAAGAAGAATCTCAGGCTAAACATGGAGCTGAGCTGTGCGATAACTGCAAGCTGCGAGACTGGCTGAACAACTACCGCCTCAATGATGTGGACTCGTTCAGCCTCTTCAAAGAGTTCCTAGAAATGGGTACGTCTAGTCTGAAATTAAAAATGAAAAGGTTAAATGGCTGCTTTGTTTGATTGATTTCTTTTCCCCCACTCCCATGCAGTGATCCAGTTCAGCTTCACCACCATATTTGTGGCAGCGTTTCCTCTGGCTCCACTGCTGGCCCTCATCAATAACATCATTGAAATTCGCCTGGATGCCATCAAGATGGTCACCCTCGAGCGCAGAATGGTCCCCAAGAAGACCAATGATATTGGTGAGTGGGACCGTGGTGGAGAAACAAGAGCTCATCCTTTTTCTCACATTCACTGCCAGCCATTTGAGAGCATTTTGACTTCATCAAGACCTATAAGATATTCTGTTAAATTATTTATTTACCAAATAAACCGAATGAAAGCATGGACTCTCTCACCAGGAAAAATAAATTATTCTCCTTTTTTTCCCTTCTTTTGTAATTAGCAGTAGAACAAAGCTAGCCTCATGAAATGCAACTGTTTCTCCAAGTTAACTCACAAACTGGGATGATCTCATTTCTAAAATGGTGCATTGTTGCCTTCTACTGGTGGTTGCGCATCACAAAAGTTGCTTCCAAGCTTGACAGACACGCCGTCAAGAAACTTAATTGAATGAATGCATTTTTCATTAGACAAGTTTTATGTAGTAATTATTTTTTCTATAATTAGATGAAAAGTTCCCCTTCACCTTTTGGGCAAAATAGGATCTATCTGAATAGGGTGACAATTGACAAAATGGAAATCCCATTTATCTGTTCCAGCCTCCCCAAAAAGCAACAAAAAACTGTTGTCATGAAAATCGCCCTTTGTAATATTATACTTCATAAAACATCCTGTAATGACAGTCCAGTAATAGAATTACAGTCAACATTTTGTGCATGATGATTCATTTATTGCCTCTCCTTCAGGTGTCCGCAGTTGGGCAAACAAAGGAGACTTTCACTCAACTACTGTAGATGACTTGGTAATGTGAAGTACTATTAGGTGTTTTTTGCAGAGGATAGAGACTATATGCCTATGAGAATCATGATATCTGTCTAAATTTGTTGCTGCAATGTTTGTGTTCAAAGATATGTTCGCACTGGTAGAGAGATGTTATCCGTTAGCTTGTCCATGGTATTTTCCATTATTCATTAGCATTATGCTAATTACAATAAGATAACCTTTATTTGTCTCACAATGGAGAAATTCCCAATTTACAGCAGCAAAATTATGAAAGGGAGAAAGTATAAGACAAAAGTACATAAATAAATATAAAATATAAAAATAAGCATCTTAAAAATGGGTGAGTGGAGGTGAGTCCAGGTTTTCAGGACTGTCTGTTCAATAGCCTGACAGCAGTCGGCTTAATTCATGTGGCCGTTTTAAATACGAACTATGTAATTGTCTCTGTTTAAAGTCTATTTGACATTAAACTTTAACTGGGAGTGGCATTAAACAACTATAAGGCTGAAGATGTGTTCACTGTGCCAAACCATTGCCTCTGACTCAACAATCTGGTTACTGGTATCTCAGTGCCTTGACGCTGTTTATTTATTACGTAAATGTAGCGATTACTGGAATTCTCAAGTGTTAACACAGTCCCTTATAATGCTAAATTTCAAAAAAATTCTTTGTCAAACACAAGAACACTTTTCAAATGTGGGTTAAAAAAAGGGAACATATTTTTCATTCAAATCTACAATGCATCGTTTGCTATTTTCTACATAATTAACTATAAAGTTAAACTGTCGAATTATTATTATTGCTTGACACATGTGAAAGGAAGTAAGAAGCAGATAAATATAGAACAGTAAAAATATAAACTATGAAACTTTTGTAGGGTGGAGAGCCCTTAGGGTTTTCCGGTTATGCAGTAAGTTCCACTTCCAGTTTTGTGGTTAGTTTTTGTTTTGGTTTTTTGGGTGGTACTTGGTGTCAAAAGTTTGAGAACCTCTGAAGGCTAAAATGCCACAGCACAAATGCACTTTTGCTCAATGAACCGCCTGGTGGCCACTGCAAAAACTACATGGGTCAAAATCAAAATACTCTCATGGGAGTTGATCTTTAAATGTTACTGAGATAAGTTATTATGTCTTTGTTCAAATGTTTGCTTCTCCTCAGGTGTGTGGATAGATTTGTTGGAGGCGATCGGGGTCTTAGCCGTCATTGCAAACGGGCTGGTCATCGGCGTGTCCTCAGACTTCATCCCTCGACTGGTGTACCATTACCACTACGGACCTTGCGCCAACGGCACGGCGACCGATATCGAGTGAGCATGCGTTGTCTTTCTTCAAGAAAATATCCCCATTCTGGGCTACCCTGCACAATAAATTGTGATTTGTCTCATTTCTCATTTTCCCAAGTTGTATGGTTGGCTACATCAATAATACTCTCTCCACTGCCTCCATGGATAACCTGGAAATCCGCAAGGAGTTTTCCCCTCTTCAGATGGTGACTCCAAATGGAGTGAATGTCTCTTCCTGCAGGTTGGCTGGCACTTTTCTCTTGCTTAATGTATGGCCTTTTCAATACCGGAGCCGTTATCACAGATTTATCAGATGGATTCCAATTCAAGAAACCTTTTTTGTCGCTTGCTTTCATTGTCAAAGACTAAAATGCATCGATCGGGAAGGTAACATGAGCCCTCCTCTTCACAGCTATAAAGACTACAGAGACAGCAATGACTACAACCTTACGCCGCAGTTCTGGCTTATTTTAGCCGTGCGCTTCGCATTTGTTATCCTGTTTGAGGTGAGCTTCAGCTCGATACGACCAAACATGTTCTCACGAACTTAATGACAAAAACAACAATACGATGCATCGTATCGTCATCCCTCGAGAAACTGACGCCATCTCTACTTGCAGCACATCGTGGTCATATGCAAATTTATCGCAGCCTGGTTCGTACCAGCCGCGCCCATGCATGTCAAGAACGACAGTCTCTTTGATAAACTCAAAAGACTAAAAGAAGAGCTCAGGTGAGAGTTTGAGTTTGAAGTGAAGGTACTGGGTTTTTGTTTCAAAGTTCAATGTCAAAATGTCCAAATCAATCCTTACTATTGAGTCACATATCGTTACTGTGAGGCAAAATCCTCCGAAATCACTACTTTTCAGGAAATTAAAAGAACAAAAAAAAGGGCATCTTTCTTGAGTTACTAAAAATCGCTTACTTCATACATACAAACTATCTTATACCGTTGCGTACCGACATCAATCGAACACCATGACTCTGTTGACATCATCGACTGAAACTTTTTTTCACCTGTCTTAGAGCCATGAGTGATACAATAAATAAAACCATAAGATGACTAAACTGTTTGAGAGGCGGACATGAATCCGCACACACCTTCGTGGCTGACAAATTCCTTCTGCATCGAAACATTACAGTTATCCATTTTTAACAAAATAAGCTTACTCAAATCTATCTAACCTATTTTTACTTATTGCTGGCGAACTTGTCAACATCAATTTAACGGTTTCCCTGACAGAGATTCTGAATGTAAAGACCAATTGTATTCTCCGCAGGTCATTCGAAGAGAGCCAGCGCTTACATTCTGCTGGCGCAAACGGAATGTGAACCCAGTGTTGCCTTGTGCATTGAAAGTGTCCCCAACGATCACACTTGAGTTGGCTCAACTTCGAAGCCATTCATCAACTTGAAGTGTTCAGATAGAGGGCTCCGACTGTCTATCGATATAATGGCGATGTGGATTCCCACGTATGAAACGAACGAACGGACGTATTCTTGGACCAAACAAGTGTACAGTCACTCATTTTGCTGTTGTCTTCAATGAGATTATTGGTATTTCATTATTCTGCACTGAATGTTTTTTTTCTAATTAATGCGTGACTTATTTGTGGTCCTCGTCTGAACAGAATTTATACTCTTGGTGCACAGTCTGTACTGATTGTATGACAATGTTGCCTTATATCGTGAAAAGCGTTGTGGTAAAATCACCATTACTGCCGAGAGACTGACAGAGGGCTTTGAAATGTTTTGCACCGTAATGTTTTATAATGAATAAAAGAAAATGTCATATCCTCACAGAAATATAAGATTGTCTTGAGTGTGACCATTGTTGATTCCAAATGGCATTTTTGACAACAAATGCATGTAAATCTCCTTCTGCCTGAGGTTTTTATATCCATATAAACAATGTTTACAGTTGCTTGTCAGTGTTATTTGGATAAAGTCTCTCTCTGACCCTGACTTAAAAAAAGGTCTTCTGGTTATGGTGAGCACTTGAATATAGTAATCAGCATACACTTTATTTCTCTACAACAGTCCAATCAACAAATGAAAGGCTGACATCTCAACAATGAATAAATATTTGTGTCATCGGTAAAAATAACGTGTGATTTGTTGGCACGCTGTGCTTGCGTCAGCATGGAGTGTGAAAAGTGAATGAAGAATGATAATTGTAAGAGCTCCTTTAACAATGTTTTGTAAAATAAAACTTTTATATACACAGTGCCGTAGATTGAAGCTCATCACCCTGCATGCATTTTTTATTTTAACGTCACCTCAAAATGCAACACGATATAGTGTATGTAGTGTTGTACTAGTAAGTCTGATAGAAGCTCTAAATGCACATTTCATTGGTCAGAATGTGACAAATTTTCTCTCTTAAGGTATATCTCCGAGTGTGACTCAACAGTTCGACTGCATCACGTTGTCAGATCAATGAACAATTAAATGAAAGCAAAGTCCATCAAGATAAAAAAAACAAACCCAGTGGAAAAAAAAAAATCAAGTCACAACTCGTAATTTGAATGGTCAATGCAAACAAGTGAAGTTGAGCCTTTCATTACTCCAGACAGGGATTCTAGCTTAAAACACTAATAACTGTTTTCAGCTGGGGGTGAGAGTTGTCAGTTACAGTGGCAATGCAATATCTCTGCCCTCTGGCTTGAGCAGCGAAAAGAGAGGAAAATGCCTTGAAAAATAAAGAATTGGGTTACTGCAGTGCATAGCATCTATTGCCCCCTAGGCTGGAAATGTGCTTTACAACAACAAAGCCTTCGCTTTTTCATGACTAGGGCTATGGCTAACCCACCCAAGAGCTTTACATTGGTTATGATTTTGTCATTCTGAAAAAAAATGCTTTCGGTGTTGACTGCGACTTATTAGTCATTGTCATTTTTGCCTGGACCCTCAGGGGTTCTGTCAGTTTATAAAACGGAAATTATTTTCTGTTAGTTTCTCATGTGCCGGCCAAGTTATCCAAATGGTTGTGAAATAAAACAGACAGTAAAAAAAAAAAAAAAAAAAAAAAATCACTTTTACATTTAAGTGTGCACAGTACTTAAGAGTTGACTTAGTAACCTACTTTTACTAGAGTATTGTTTTAGACAAGTATTTGTACTTCTTGAGTAAAGTGTATACATGAGTACTTTTTCCACCGATGACTTACTGTAATGTGTAAGACATTTTTCTATGTAAACGTGCTTTTAATTAGCGTGCGTACAGTACTTCCTATTCTGGAAAGCAGGTGATACCCATGGTCAAGAGCACGTGACAATGCACAGCCAATAGGAAGAAGTTCTCATGTCTCTCCAGGTGCAGGTGTCCGACGGCTGCGCAGTTGACTCCGTACACGTTTACTGCAATAACCACATTGTAACAAACAAACGGCTAGAATCGAAATACTTACCTTTTCGTAAGAGTTACAGTAAGGGGACGACATGTGCTCCTTTCTTGTCGCCTTTATTTTGGTGACCTCGTCTTCGTGGATCAACTCTGTCGTCTCGCTCGGTAAGGATGCCATAAATCACAAATTTTGTTTGCCGAAGTTGAAGTTGAGAGAAATCTACGCGTATAGTTCCATGCAGTGTATTATTTATGTCTACGTTCACCATTAAAAGTCATTTGTGCCGTTTGTGCGGTCATGTACGCGGGGTCAAGCTAGCTGTCTCGCAGTCACATGTTGTTGCCTGGCAACAGGTGGACCAGATCCGGACTTTGGACGCGGTTGACTGACATTTAGTGTGTGGATTGCCGCACAGAAAGCACAAAAAGACCAACACAAAACAATATCTATGAGAAATCAGTCAGGGCCAGTCGTGCCGGTTACTTGGAGCTTTTGGTCTGCATCACATGATGAAATTGCGCATGCGCAACATAGCCTGTCCAACTGGTCCGCAATCAGTGACACTTCAAAGTTGCTGCGACGTCTTTTTCACGCATGAATGTCACAACTGAAAAGATTTTAAATTTCTCCATGGCTAATTAAGTAAATAAAACTAGAGCTGAATGATTTTAAAAATAATCTAATTGTGACACCCCCCATTATCGTGATTTAATATGCAATTTAGGTTTGATTGTAAACATTTTTATTCCGGTTTGATGACAACTGTACTGTACTGCCTATTTATTACCTGTACATTATTTCATTTGCCGGTTGTTTATCTGTTTATTTTTATGATATATTTTCTTCATTTTATATATCTCATAATACCAACTGGAACCTTTTTCAAACTTGTCCACAAGAAATACTCCGTTTTAAAAACATCGAAAACTATTAAAAACTAAACTAATACGAATCACTTTCGAGAATAAACTAACAATCTCTCTCTAATTACAAATTAAAGCTAACTGAATTTAAAATAACAAAAGTAAAAATGAATTAAAACGAAACAACCAAAGCTATAACCATGCTGTGTCTGCCTGAAGGAAAGACAGTGTGTAACTCTCCTGTGTTTGCAAATCAACATGAAGCTTGTGTTGATGAGGACCATTTTGAAGAAGACGTACTCTATGCGGGGCAGCAGGATCCGCCATACCGGCTCAACTGCTCCTTGGGGTCAATTCCTCACGTCCAGGGTGACCCCCGGCCTCAGCTCACTTGGCTGAAAGACTGTCAGCTGTTTGGTGCCCAGCAGGGCAATTACTACCTTGAGTTTGCAAACATCTCTGTTGACGCTGGAGGGAACTACACCTGTTTGCAGCCCGGCAACAACACTGCTTCATTCACTGTGCGCCTCGTAGTTAAAGGTAAGCGTTCTTCATGTTCCTCATCTGTAATTAGTGCTGAAAAAATGTAATTGCACATGCAGATTAATTTATTGCTTGTGTTTGTTAAAAAAACAAAAACAAAAAACAATACACGTGAAGAGGACCTTGACAAAGTCATCACATATGAAATCTCAAATGCAATGTTGAGGAATTTAACGAGTTGATTTGTCAAAATCCTTCAGCCCGACTTGTGATGTAGTGCAATAATTTATGTGTAAGATTTACTCTGTGTGTCTTTCCACAGCATCCAAGTGCTCCATGGGTCCAGAGTTCTCATCGAATGAAGTTCTGAGAACCACCTGGGGGAAGGTGGGATCCATCGTCTATCTGAATTGCACCGTCCTGCTTTCCTGGGACCCGACTCACAAGCGATGCGACGCCTCGCTGCGGTGGACAAAAGATGGCCATCCCCTGAGCAATGGCTCGCTGCTTTTGCAAAACACGTCTTCATGGTGATTGGAGGCAACTCTCAGACAGTGTGTGAGACCAAGGAGAACATGACCGTTTTTTTTTTTTTTTTTGTTCTTGCTAGGTTTCAAGCTGGAGATCAGCTGGTGGTGAGCAGTGTGCTGGCAGTCCATCTTCACGAGTTGGAAGACTTTGGACTGTACAGCTGCACAGTGAGGAACTCTTCGTCTGACTTCAACCTGCAGAAATCAAGTAAAAACGGCATCATAATCCAGAGGTTTCGTATTTTAGTCCCTCGATGTATCACTTGCTTCAAGTCTCAACTGACCGCTTTCATCAATTGCAGGCAGTTTATGACTTTTATGACTACCTTTTGCGACCACTACTTTACAATTCACTACGAATTACTTTAACGTTCATTACTAATGAATCCAAAGCTTTCTAGAAGTGCACCAATTTTAGTCTGATGAACATCATTTATATTCAACTATTTAACACTTTCAGGGACAGCGATTACTAAAGTGAACAGTTTATCATGTTAGCGGATTACATGGTGCATGAAAGGGTTAATGTCTGGGGTTTTTTTTTAACCGTCAGACAGCCCAAGCCACACTGCTGCCGTCACTGCAGCCTTTGTCGTCCTCCTCCTGCTGGCTGTCGCTGCTGTCATCTACTCCAAGTGCCACCTGAACATCAAACTGTGGTATCGCGACTCTTACGGAGACTACGAGATGGGCGGTGAGTGCGAAGAGTTGCTCGTACGTGAGGACGTTGACACAAAGCCGCTTGCGTTGTGTTTTGCTCAGACGGAAAGTTGTACGACGCCTACATCTCCTACGTGAACAATGATTACGACAGGAAGTTTGTCAACTTTATTCTCAAACCTCACCTGGAGAATAAACATGCATACAAAGTGCATCTCAATGACAACGACATCATGCCTGGTTCAGGTAAGACCAAATTTGAACTCCACATGGCATCATATCATGAAAAAGGGCGATTTTTGTGATGTTCAATTACAGTGCTGCTGTGAAAAATTATTTGCCCGCTCCTCAAATGTTTTTGGGTTTTTTTTGGGGTATAGATTCTCCATTTTGATGTTTAAAATCAGCAAACAAGTGTAAATATCTGACAAAAATAACCCAAGTAAACCTAAAATGTGGATTTAAATTTAAATTATCAAGAGGAAAATGATATTCAAAGCTACCTGGTCCTGTGTGAAAAGTACTTGACCACATCAATGGAATCTGTCTGACAAAATGATAGCTGGCCAAAAGATAGCGAAAAGCTACAATAAAATGCCATGGCCCCAAAAAAATCAAGAAGAGATGACAAATAAATTGACATCTATCCATCTGGAAAGGTTTAAAGAGCCATTCCTAAAGCTTTTGGACTCTAGTGAACCACAGTGAGAGACATCCTCAAATGAAGAAAACATGCCCCCCCCCCCAAAAAAAAACAACAAAAAAAAACATCTGAATGATTTCCAGCAACTTTGGGAGGATATTTTATGGACTGCCTAGTCAGAAGTTGTCGTACCAACAGTCAAACACGGTGGTGGTAGTGGGATGGTCTGCGGATACTTTGCTAATTCAGGACCTGGTTGACTTGCTGCAATGAAAGTTTTTGACTTAAAGCTTAAGCAAATTTGTGTTTTGCAGCAGGACAACAATCCACAACACACCAGCAGGTTAACTTCTGGATGGCATTAAAAAAAAAAAAAAAGCTTTCTGAAGTGGTCTCATCAAAGTACAGGCTTGAATCCAGTTGAAATGACCTTAAAAATGGGTGCTCCTACCCGAAAAGCCTCTAGTGTTGCTGAATTAAATCAAGAATGAAGTAAAATATCTCCACAGGGATGTGAAAGACTCATTTCCAGTTCCTCAGAATAAGAAATGAGAAAAAACAAAACGTATTCACATGAGAGCACATTGCCCATTGACAAAGACTCCCACGCTGATGAACTTGTGCCCTTCCCTTGCACATCACCGCAACTGCGTTTCAAGAACCTTCGGCGGAGCTTTTGATGACCATAAGTCGCTCCCGACGTCTCATTGTGTTGCTGTCTCACGCGTACCTGGAGCAGGACTGGTGCACCGGCAACTTCAGGTCAGACATCCTGACAAGAGCAGACTTGTCCTGTATGTCATGTATCCTGCATGACATCATCAATGTGTTTGTGCACCTGTTTTTTGTCAGACAGGGCCTGCTGCACCTGTTGGAGCTGTGCCGGCAGCCCATCGTCATCATGCTGGAAGGGCAGCTCAAGCGCATGAGCGCTGAAATCAGGCAGCAGCTCAGTGAGCACCAACACTCTCTCACCCTACTCACATGGAGGCACAACTCTGTGGTAAGAATACACAAACCAAGCGGTTCCATCGTGACACGGTGAAAAACCAAACTTTTGCAAAGTTCGGCTTGAACAATTAACTCATTCAGTCCCAGCCATTTTCACTGGAGCAACTCCCTCAATCCCAGCGTTTTACTGGATTTTGACCGATCTTGCAAGGCCCACAGAATATTTGGTTCTAATGCTATATAAACATGGAGCCTACCAAAATAAAGTTTGGACTCGCTTCTTTCAGCAGAAAAAAAGATTTGTTTCTATCTTTTTCCATTCTTCGGCAATCGGCATGACAAAATGGCTAGGTTTCATGGAAATAGCAATTCTTGGGCAAAAAAACGACGAAAAAGAGCTTTTTGTAAAAGCATGCATTTCAAGCACATGAGGCACCTACTGGTCGCTTTTTTACATTATTTACAATGCAAACAGCTTATTCTCATTCGCAGATTGCATCAGACCCTCCTCCTCTCTATGATGCAAAAAAAAGACTTAGACTTACAAGTACGTCCTTGGTAGGCGGAGCCTAATTTTAAAAAGACGCACAAGTACGTCTTGTGGAATGAAAGAGTTAATCGAAAGTCCACCTTGCAAATGTAGTGGAATGCAGTTTACAAGATGTGAAGGCTGCAATTTGGGGGGGCGGTTGGCTTCATTTTGGTTTTTCGGTACGCCGTATTTTATATCTAGTCGATATGTTTGTACGATAATGTGAAAAATAATCACATTGAATCGCAATGTTGAGGGGAAAAAATATCGCCATTAGATTCTTTTTCAAAAGTGTTCTTGGAGAGTGGAACGTCCATCAGCAAAGTGTCAGATGCCTTTTCATCTCTTGTTCAAATCACACTCTTTATATTCCGCCTACACCCCCTTGATGGAATCCAAGCCAGTGGCTGCGGCGAACCGAGCCAAAGCGTACCGCTTCGTAGCGCCTCGTGTCGTCCTGTCCACAGACTCCCTCCTCGGCGTTTTGGAAGGAGCTGGCCTTAGCCATGCCTCGCAGGGTTGTCTTCCACAGCCAGGCGAAGGGAGACCCTCAGACGGTCCTACAGGATGACAAAGACCCCATGCTGACCCTTGACCCCGACTATCTGGACTGCCACTCTGACACAGACCCTGCTGGAGACCTCGGTAAGTCTTCAAATTATATAAGATTGGGGAGGGGGATGGAAGCATTTTTAATATTTTGGGTTACTGGTTAAGAGCACAGTTAGTATCTTCACACCTTTTCTTTTGGTTCTCATTAGGTTCAGTGGCCAGTGAGCAGAATAATTAACATTGCCAGGACATGAATGTGACATTTAAATGTTGTTTCATTGTCTTGTAGGCGTGCGGCTCCCCGTGTACAAAGCGATGACCTCCAAGGCCCCGATCCTTCCCGTTGTATCCAGCAGTGAGCGAGAACCAAAAAACCCAGACATAGACGTGTCAGACCTGGGAGCACGCAATTACGGAACACGCTCCGATTTTTACTGCCTTGTCACAAAAGAGGACATCTGAACACATACAATACACTTACCTCTGATGAACCTAATTATCAAGCGTCAAGCTCTACTTTTACTGTGTCATGTTTTTTGTGCGTTGGTTAAATCTGAATGTGCCTCATGTTGCTTTAAATTTGTTGATTTAAAAGCAGTGTTTGTATATTTTGTATTTTGACATGTTGTATGGGTGGCCCGGTGGGTGACTGGTTTGCACGTCGGCCTCACAGTGCAGAGGTGCAGGGTTCGGTTTCAGCTCCGGATTTCCTGTGTGGAGTTTGCATGTTCTTCCCTTGCCTGTGTGGGTTTTCCCCAGGGACTCCGGTTTCGTCCCACATTCCAAAAACATGCATGGCAGGTTAATGGAACAATCTAAATTGTTCTGTGGTGTGATTGTGAGCGCAGATGCTTATTCGTCTATGCGTGCCTTGTGATTGGCTGACAACTGGTTCAGGGTGTCCCCCGCCGACTGCCCCAAGATAGCTGGGATAGGCTCCAGCACGCCTGCGACCCTTGTGAGGATAAGCGCCATTAAGCGGCGTAGAAAATGGATGGATGAATGGACATATTCTATTGAGAATACAATTTTCATTTGCAGTACTTGCCATGGTTGAAGATGTTGCTTTGTGCCCAGCAGAGGGCAGACTCATAACAGATAAGAAAAACATTGACAGCTGTCAGCAAAAGTGCAAAGTACAAAAGCCTGAACAATAAGGCTGCAGAGCTCAGCTCTAGTTTGGGATATAAACACAACCTTTGACCCCATGGGACTCAAAGTGATCGCACGGTTAGACAAAAATAGGTGGCTATTTGCCTTCTTGTGCTCTTAGGGAGTCATTTTGAGCCACGGTGAAGTAGGAGCCCTAAAGGAGGGTGCAGCAGGGAAGGGCTGGAATTGTTCATGTCTCAGCAAGAGAAAATATGTAAACAGGGAGTGGCCGACGTGTTGGATTGTTACAGCCACAACTACACATGCACCTCATTCGGCAGATCTATTTCTTTATTAAATCAGATGGTACAGGTGCACATAACAGCAAATTGACTTTTATTTTCCGAACAGACGCTGGTCACCATAGCTGAAACGGCCTGACAAGTTGACAGATCATTTTATGACAGAGTTATCAAAGTGAGAAATTAGAGACTCCATATTTTGACAGGTGTCAAACTATAAGATGGATCATTTACAAAAGATAAAAACCTGTGACAAATACACATGAAAACTTGACTGCATTCTTTAGCACATGCATGGTTTCTCAATCACACATGCACGCGCACTCTACTGTGACAACCTTTTAAAAATTGCATAATCCAGACTATGACAGATTACGTACATTTGTATCATAGCATACGTGACTAAATAAAATACATGACATCTTTAGAGGCATACCAATGTCCCAAACTTTCTAAAGCAAAAAAAAAAAAAAAGCAAAATGCATCTCTTTAGTATTTTCAGTTACAATGCATTCTCATTCATACACAATATTAAAAAAAATGTGAGTGACAAGCAAAAGTCTAATAACGACAGCATGATGAGAAAGTCCTTGGTTACAGTGTATAAAACATGATTTTTTTTTTAAGAAGAACTTAAGCAATATATACAAACAAGCTATACCACATTGGTTAAAATGTCATCATGGTTTCACACAGTTTTTACATCGGCTTGTAGAAAACACACATCCCGACACTAGAATATAGTGCTCACATTTGCTTAACAGTAGTCAGCATACTCGACTCCTCCTTCGCTGACATCCATGGAGCGTTCTTATCACAAACTTCATGGCAGATAAAAACTGAGCCTGGACTATGTTGGAATCGGAGAAAAGACTGACAGTGTCTTCCACCGGTGGCGTTGCAGGACTGCTCAGCACTGTAGAAGTATAAACTTCTACTTGACATTACCTTCCATTTTTAGATGGCCGTGTCTGCAAAGTCTGGTCTCGTAAATCCTTTCTGTAATGTTGAACAAAACACAGCAAGAGAGTTATTCGGGTATGCTTTCAAATAGTTGTGCATATGCCAAACAGACTGCATGGGCATTCCTTTATGTAGTCAGACATAAATCATTCTTGACACCACACTGCTTTTGGATGAAAAATTACGCTACTCCCTGTTTTTCGACAAGACAGCGCAGATTTTATTTGAGCGCAGGCATTTCAGTGCTGTCAAGACTTGTTCATTAGCACACAAGCTAAATGCCGCACCCTTGGGTGGGGCAAGTCAGAAGCTGCAGAAGGTGATTAGCCTCTGGAGTCCTGGGCTGAGATACGCACGTGTGTGTGTGTGACTGAAAACGATTGAAGATGTACAGTTTTTGAACAAGTGTCTTCTAAATGAACGGCCAAGAGCAACATCCGAAAAACACGCTTTACCCTACTCCTGTTCTGAATACGGGTAGGGAGCCATGAAAACGCATTCCAAGTGTCAATTGACATGAGGGGTTTTCCCAATCGTGTTTTAAACTTAAGAGAGGGTGTGGCCATAATAATACAGTGGATAAAAGTGAATATGTGGAATACCTTCCAATAGGGCTGGGCGGTTAAGGAAAAAAAAAAAAAAATCAGAAACACCATTATTTTAAAATGATTAAAAAAAAAAAAAAATCCCGATTAAGAAACATAAGTATTCATGGATTTCAAAACTGAGTCATTAATTACAAAATCACAACTTTATATTTATCTCAAACAACTAGAAAAGTAATTCGTGACAAAGTAAAATAATATCAAAAAGAATTAGTTTGTATAAATTCCTGTTTCTGTTCCTGTTCCTGTAATGTGCACTTGGGCTCCAAGGGGCAGTGTGGTGCCGTGTAGATGGAAAAGAGAGTGGAAAAGAAAGTACATTTGCGCTGTTATATATACAAACTCGTTTTTCATAGATTAGGAAGAATATATGCTTTTGACTATTATATCTGTGTGTGTTCTTCACGCATTCATGTGTGAAAATTCGCTATTTGAAGAAATATCATTCACTGAACTCAATGCTAATTTTCTATTAGCCTATCAATGCGATTTTACATTGACTTTTAGCATTAGCGCAATGTTTCCAAAACAAAGTATGTCTTGTATTGAAATACACGATGTGTGTAATTCGTTTTGTTTTGTGTGTTTAGCTTTACAAAAAAGTCCAACCGGGTGTCATTCAACATATTTTCCTTGAAAAATGAGACATAGCTAGACAGTTTCCATACGTTTTTGTAGTCTTTGTGCAGTTTCTTGTACTGGAACATGTTGCTGAGCACTGTGGCGGCTGCTTTGGCTGCTTTCATCTTTCCAGAACTGCAAAAAAAAAAAAAAAAAAATACAAACGTAACAAACCACATGTGGCATCAAAACTTGTCTATTCAACATTCTTGTACATCACAAATTCAAATGGAATGTCAGTGCTCTTTATTCGCAGCCAGTTCGACTGACTGTCGCCTCACCTGGAGTCGTTGGTGTTCTTGATAGCGACCAGTTTGGGCAGGCCGTCAAAAAAACACACGTCCCTTGCGGCGACTGAGCTGCAAGTCACCAAGTTGTTGAGAACGCCGCAGATGTTGACCACCACGTCACTGGACGGCTCCTTCTGGTAGCCGTCGATGGGCAGCTTGGTCACCAGGTTGTTTACTACCTTTGTGGCTGGGGGAAGGAAAAAAAACAAAAACAAGAACAACCAAAAACTGTTAGGAGAACACGATTATGGACACAAGTTCCCATTTGCAGTCAGTAATGATTCCTCACACTAATGCGTGAGCCATAAAAACACAAACAAGATCAACGATAAAAGGGATGGAAATAATAATGACGATGCAAAAAACAAACACAAACACAAAAACAAATATTGGAGCAGGTTGGCGAAATAGGATAATGTCAATTAAATGTTTACTTACCATATCATTACTCTATCCTTTAAGAATTTAGAATCAAAGACATTTCAATTGTGGAACAGATCTTTACTAGTAGACACGTATTATTTTCTTTAGTGGGTTACAAGTTGAAATGACGGGCCAGATCTGGTCTCGAGTTTTGACACCTGTGTGCTAGAAGCATGGTGTTGATACTTTATGATCCTCTCATTTTGAAGTGCTTTGTGGCATCTAGATTCAATTACACACTGTATTTGGGGAGGGGGTCAATTACCTATTTTTTACCATCGAAAAATGCTTGTGTTTAAAGTGTGTGTTTTTATGGTCTCTCAAAGCAGCACAATTAACGGAATTCTAATTATGATCACGATTTTGGCAGCCACGATTCAATTAACTTGACTGTTGTGCTAATCAAGCACTCTCTGAACCAAAAGTCATCCAGCCACCAGGGGGCCTACACATGGTCAAGGCATCCTTAAGCTGCCGAAATAATAAGCAAGCAAGCGCACCCTACAGTGGAGGCCTCAAGTAAGTAGAGTAACTGCACAAATTGAAGATGAGCAGAATGATGGAGAAGTTCGTGCCTTGCAAGGGATCAAAATTGCGATTACACTCGTAATAGTATCCAGTATTTAATTAGTTTGTCCTTTTAAATTCTTGGCTAAACGCATTTATTTTATTTATGATTTACCCTTTCAGGGTTTCAGAAGTTTCAATTTGCACCGACAACTGTTGACATAGTTCAGTGAAAAGTAGTGAAATAAAAACACAAGCGTTTTTTTTCCAGACAAGAAAGAATTGTGATTAATAATAATGATGACAATAATCGTGATGACCGTTTTGGCAATAATCTAGTCTCTATATTATAGTTTTATACCTATTACAGATAATCCTAGAAAGTATCCCCGGGGACAAACAGTGAGAGAAAGACTCACCCATGTGATTCTTATCCTTGGCGTGACGGGACAAATTTCGTAGGAAGCCCGTGATGGAACGGAGCTCCAGGTCGTTGTTGGTGCGCAACAGGTCTAGTAGAACGGGCAACATGCGCTCCTGGTCCATGGCCACGCGGCTCAGCACCGCCGCCCACTGAAGCAAAAATCAGACAGTTGGCTTCAATGAGTCAAAAGTCGCATCATTCGGACGAGGTCTGAGGTCGTCTCCCGAGCGCTGACCCGCTTGTCTCCGGCTGTGATGTTCTGCAGCGCTCCCGCCGCCGCCTCCCGTGTGGTTGAGTTGATCTCGCACTGCTGCAGCACGCGGTTGTACAAGCCCACGATCTGAGGGTGCCACAGCCACTCCATCCCCTTTGGCACGCGGGCCACCTCGGTGAACGTGGACAGGTCCTGGTTCCTGCTCTGTGGCCGAGGGAAGAAAACCAAAGATGAATATGAAAAGAATAAAGTTGGAATACGAATAATAAGGTCAACATTCCCACATGAACATAACTTAAGAATTGCAGTCTCTCTTAAGACCTTTTACGTAGTCATCAGTTAATTTCTCAGACTAGACGATACCGATTTTTTTGAGGCTGATGCCGTTTTCGATAAAAGATTAATCAGGCGAATGATGGGAAAAAAATATATATATATATATAAAATTAACAAAATCACTTATTTTTTTGGTCTCCTTAATGCTTATTTATGTTATGTAATAGAGGTACAGACAAATAGAGGAAGGACTTTTGACTGTTTTACAATTTGTCCTTTAGTATTTGCTTAAATTTACAACAGAGAGAAAAATCAGCAAAAGTCGTCCAATTTTTATTTATTTTTTTGGCTGATTTTTATTTGAAGGGCGGGGGGCAATGTTTTAATGTCATTATCTTTGTCTTAAGATGGAATGTGCAGTATCAGTCAAATATAT